GAGAAAGTTTCAGCTTTTGGAGAAAATCTATTAAACCTTTAATTTATCCCACGGTGTCTGAGTGTGTGTGTCGCACCTGTGCAGGTGATTCTGAGGGTGGAGCTGCTGCAGTCACATGGCTGGTTGGCATCACCTGATTGGCTGGGCGGTCAGCGTTGGGGAATACAGATTTCTCCCTAGCGACAGGTGGTTGCTAAGCAGTCTCTAACCATCCAGGATCAGCTGATAATGGAGTCCATTTCTGGGGTGAAGATTATTATATGGGCTCTTATGTTTGACCTTTGACCCTCTGTGTAGCAGGAAGTGTGTAATGTTACAAAATAAAGTTGGATACAAAATGCTCAGAATGAAATAAGTCATGTGACGACCTCAGACCTTTTCTATAATGTGATTGGTCGGAGCTGCTGCTTTGACGTGTTCACAGGTCACAACTCTGTAAATCAAGATCCCGACGACTCGAACCAAAGTCACGAGGAGACGACGGCGAAACCTCAAAACTGTCAAAGTCGCCGACATCACGTCAGCGGCACGAACTCCTCAAATACAACATGTCGAAGAAGACGGAGCGGTGCTGACCGTCAGGTTATCAGGTCATTGTCAAACCTACAAGCAAATATTAGAAATCCAGTTTGAATTTACTGTCAAAAACTTCAACCAGAGATCAGTAAGTGAAGACGCGCGTTTCTAAAAAAGAAAACACAACGATTGTTGTAATAAACATGAGCCCACAACGACAGACAGCATGAATCAAGATCTCGGGTCTGGAGTTAAGAGGAAGAACAATGTTCCTGTGCACAGGTTCAAACAGCTGATGGTTGGTGGTGTAGCAACGCCATCTGATTCCTTCGTGTTCCTAGACTTCGGAGACACGTGTGAAGATCAAATAACCACCACAGAAGCTGATGCTGATTGGACGTCCTAACAGAGCCCAGGCTACAAACGTTTCTGGGAACTCATCAGCGGCCTTTTACATCGAGTATTGGTAGGAACGTTTCAGACTCTGCTGCCCACGATGAGACCCGGACTATCGCCTCAGTTCCAAAGCCCAACGAGGAGACTAAGAAGCTCCAAATGTCTTCACTGCTCGTCTTTAGCTCTGTCATGTCTCGTTTCAGAAACACAGTCCGGTCTCTTCACAGAGCAGTGCTGTATACAGAAAGCTGATGAAGACGATGGATTGTTACAAAGCCTTCGACTCAGCCTTGATAAAGTCCTTGAACACTTTTGGAGTTAAATTCAGAAACGTGATTTGTGTTTGTCCCACATTATTAGCAGTTGTGTCGTTGTACCCGATGGTACCAACCCTAGCTTTACAGCTAATGTTGGAATCTCCCCATATGGATTCATATTGGTCACCAAGATGTTGAAGACTTTTGAAAATCTTCAAAAGTTCAATAACATAAAAAAATTAAATGTTTTAGCCACAGATATTATGATAAGTCAACAGATGACACAGCAATATTTTAAAAGATAAACTCCAAGATCCACTAACTATTGAAAAAATGCTGTCCCAGGCATCTGCACGACTATTATTAACATTACTATTATTAACATTACTATTATCATCATCTGGTTTAAGTTTAAATGTTAGAAAATGTGAAGTCCTTGCTGTACCTGATGCTCAGAAAAAGATGTTTGTAACATTCCTGTTGACTCCAAAATGAGATATTTGAATCTCACAAAGGACCAAAAACGAAATCAGTCGTTGATGTGGAGAACAAACTGAACTCATGTGAAACAGCTGCTGTGACCCCGACACTGATGCCACAGCTTCAGAGGTCAGAGTTCAAATCTATGCTTGATCTCGCTCACCTGTGCACTGCACACACAGGTGAGATCGTACCTGACCAGCGCCTGTTCAGCCCGAGCTTCAACAGTCACCGAGCCGCACACGCAGATGATCACGGGGCTTTTATTTTGATAAGGTGTTTGATATTTTGACATCAAACACCTGCACAGGTAAGCAGGCAGGAGGTCTGCAGAGTTCTGGAAGGCCAAGTGTGGGCATCAACACTGAAACACACAAACACGCCATGGATACAGCTGATCACATGACCTCTGCAGTTTACAGGATAACTAATCAGATATCAATAACAGTGATGTCTTCCAGATACAGACAGACAAGCTGGTGATGGCTAACCAACCGGACATAGTGGTGGTGGAGAAGCGGAGGAAGACGGCTGTAGAGACACCAACAAACCAAAGAACCAGGTGTTCAGAGAAGAGCTGGAGGGTGAGGGTAGCAATGGTCCCAGTGCGGTGACTCCTGAGCCAGAGACACGAGGACACGAGCGCCTGCTGGGCGAGAGCGGATCAATACTTTGTTTATACTTTATTATTACTTCAGTCTTTATGTTAATCAATTAATTGATGTTCTTCTTTTATCCTATACCCAAATTATATTCTTGCTTTTTACTCATTCCTTCTGTTATCATAATTATGAGTACCTGCGTCCTCCGGGGTGCAGTATCACTTTCTTCCACCGGATGGAGCCAGATAGTCCTTTAGCTCAGGCCTACACGAGCTGGCAGAGGTTCACTGTAGTGCGACGAGAACGAAGTCACCTTTACAGCCCTGTGTGCTCGCCGTCGCTCCACGACAGCAGTCACACTGAACGACATGAAATAATGCAACATGTTACAAAGATATATCTACCAACAGCTCAACTATAAATATGCAGAGGATCACCGAGGTGCATTGTGGGTAATCTCAGTCTCTGAATGGGAAAATCAATTCCTTGATTGGACTTTCACACCAACACAAAGGTGAAGTCACAAAACAACCATTTCCTTTTTTAATTGCACCTTTGCAGCCAACACACTGTTAAGGATTCTCTGACGGCCGCCGATCGGTCGCTCGTGACGGGATTTTTGACCAAACTGAAGCGTTAACAGCACCAAATGGTTCTTGCCTTTCCACTTGGGCCGCCTCGGTTCTCTTTATCCAGTCGACGGTCTTTGTCGGCACCAGTTTGTTGGTTCTTTCATGGGAGAAGATCTGCTGTCAGTGGTTCTTCAGCTCTCCCAGCAGAAGCCAAACTGCAGGTGACTCAAACAAAGATGTGTTAACATAAAACAGAACTTTGACCTTGCAGTGCTAATATGTGTGCACGCCACAAAAACATTGGAAGGTGTGATGGAAAAACAACTTTAATAAAGAAACAATATTGAACAATAAGAGTATAATAAAGTAGTGACTGCAAAGTGAATCACCTGGTGGTGTGGAGCCATGTGTGGCAAACCTCAGAAACAAAACTGTACAGCAGAGAAATAAAGTTTCACGGGCTTGTTTTCCTTCGATGTGCAGCGACAGGCTTTAAAGGTGTCTGCTGTGGGTTAAAGGATTTCCAATGACTGGATATTTTATCACCTGTGTGCAAGTTGTCATGGAAACTGACCAGCAGCCACTGATCAATGATCTCTGATCAACGATGTTGCTGCAGGCTGCCTGTGTTTGAAACACTCGTGCTTTGCGGCGTTCTCTCTGATTACGAGCGTTTCAGCTTCATCGTGGCGATCGCACGCTGTCATGCTGATGCAGCCTTTACCTGCAGGACGGGTCTGACACGGCGAGCAGCGTCGTGGTTCAGCTGTGAATCACAGTCATCCATCAGCGCT